ACCCATAGTTCTGGCCCCAGCAGCCTCCAGTATGCTAATTTAGCGTGGATGCGCGTGGAAACGCGGTGTATTTCACAGCACCCCAGTTAATTTTGAAATTTATCCATAGTAGATTAATAGTAGACACCAGAACTATGGAGTGCTGCAGAAATAACACATAGTTCTGGCCCCAGCAGCCTCCAGTATGCTAATTTAGCGTGGATGCGCGTGGAAACCCGGTGTATTTCACAGCACCCCAGTTAATTTTGAAATTTATCCATAGTAGAGTAATAGTAGACACCAGAACTATGGAGTGCTAACCCATAGTTCTGACCCCAGCAGCCTCCATACATCTCAACGAGCCTTCAAATGTATCGCGTAATGTCTGATGTACCGGGATGCTATGTCCCGCAATACGGCTGGGGCGCGCCGCGCGACCTGCGCGCCTGAAAACTTTTTCCGTTATATTAGCTTTATTTTTGCAGAACTATTCATAATTTCTATCAGGAACTCTAGAACTATACCCTTAGAACCGAAAAATCACTCGAGAACTGTTGCACTATCAAAAAGGGGTGCGGCGCGAAGTTAGCACCCCTTTTTTTGTTTTTAAAAAAAAAATACTTAGGCATGAGAACTATTGTTGCACCCCTCTCAGAACTATAGAACTATCCTAAAAGTATTCAGAACTCCTGAGAAAATCAGGTGTGCTTGATTTTCGGGTGCCAACTTTGCATAGGTGGTTATATAATAACAAAGCGCGCGAAACGCACTGTTTATTTTCTAAATTCAATACATGCAAGGACTAGTACGCATTAAGTGGACGAATTAGTTTGGGCTAGTTTGCATATTTTTGGTTAGTTTCATTACAGTTCATTTATTACTGGTTATAAGACAAGTGTACTGGACTACTGGTTAATAACAAAGCGCGCTCGCTGTTTATTTCCTAAATTCAATACATGCAAGGACTAGTACGCATTACATGGACGGGTTAGTTTGGGCTAGTTTGCATATTTTTGGTTAGTTTCGTTACAGTTCATTTAATACTGGTTATAAGTGTACTGGATTACTGGTTACTAACAAAGCGCGCTGTTGTTTTCTAAATTCAATATTTAGATGCAAAGACTAGCACGCATTACGTGGATGGGTTAGTTTCGGTTAGTTTGCATATTTGTGGTTAGTTTCGTTACAGTTCGTTTATTACTGGTCAAAGTGTACTGGTTGATAACAAAGCGCGCTGATAGCGACCGATAGTAGGGAATTTTCGTAGTTAATTGATTTTCGAAGGTTGGGCCATCTCAATGAGTGGGCCAAATCGTCAATTTTAAATATAATTTTCTGATGGAAAATGTGCATTTTCCGCATTTATTTTCATCAAAGGTCGGGAAGAGGCGTTTTTTGAATGGCTTCAAAAATAGAAACTGTGTATTTCCGCGAGAAAATTTTTCCTTTTTTACATTTAGAAAAATGTTTACAATGCAAAGGAATATCAATTTTTCACGTAATTGATTTCAACTATTCTAAAGACTCATAAATTTTTCCGGAAAATGGTAACAGCTTATTTCCGCAGCAAAATTTTTGTGTTTGTATGTTCAGAAAAATGTTAAAAATGCAAACAAACAAAAATTTTTCACATAACTGATTTCAGCTATTCTAAAGTTCGGAAAATGGAAATGAAGCATTTCCGCAGAAAAATTTGTGTGTTTTCGTTTTTATGGAGGCTTTTTGAAGGCATTTTTCAATTTTTTTTTCTAATAGCTGATTTCTGCTAAACGAAAGTTGACCCAAAATGTGCAACCTACTAAAAAAACTTTAGGCCAAGAGAAATTGAATGGCGGAAACCGCAGGTAGCCAGCACACCTGGTTTAAAAGTTATAAGCATTTAAAATGGGTCACCCTGTATTATAGGAACTTTGCTTAATTTTTTGAGATCCCATGATCCCAGTCATCCCTTCGAGTGGGTCTCACAGATAAGAGGACCAACCAATCACCTCCTGTGCATTGGCGGCTCTTGACTATTTCAAGTGAGGAGGCTAAAAGATTTTCAGTGATTTTGAGTAGATCTTACGAGTTTTTCTGTGATTTTGACCAACTTGTATACAAATTTTCATCAATTTTAACCGCTCGAAGTTCAGTTAACTTCATAAAATGTGTGCATAATTGAATCTTTATTGCTTTTGTAGTATTTTGAGGATTTTTAAAAAACTTCACGTAATTTTAAAAGATTTTAGATTTATGAGATTTTAGGTGATTTTGGATCATTTTATAGGGAATTTAGAAACGGTTTTTATGGCGTTTTTACCAACTAATTTAGGGAAGCCTTAACGATAAATAAGTATTTCATGGGAAGTCTGCGAAAATTTTTGTTAATTCCATAGATATTCCTCAGAATTTTTTTTGAAGATTTTATAGAAATCCTCGAAATTCCATTCAAATGAAAAATTTAAATAGAAAAACAGGAAGTCCTAGAAATTTTATCATAAGATTTCATAATACTTCCGAATTCCACCATAAAATTCAATGGAATTCTTGTACAAAAATTCCTCGGAATTAAGTAGAAGATTTCATGAAATTTCGACAGAAATTACTCAGAATTTCACTAAAATTTAATTCAAGTTTTCGGAATTTCACCGAAATTTTTTGTGGTTCCATGGAAATTCCACGAAAATTCTGTTTAATTCCGAGGGAATTTTTCGGTTTCGATATAATTTCCCTGAAATTCCACAAGATTTCAAGGAATTCCATGTAGGTGAAATTCGACGAGAATTCCTTGGAATTTGTCCAACATCGAACACAATCCTCCAAATTCCCCATAAATTTTTCCAAATTCCCTATAAATTCCCCAAGCTTTTAACAAAAAATTCCAAGTTGGTTCTGCCTCTTGGAAAATACAGTCTCACACTTTCAAAGTTTTTCTAAAAAACTAATTGGGGGAAAAGTTGAAACTTTTTGCATATAAAGAATAAGATTAGAAGCTTATTTCCTCAAAATTTCAAATTTTCCCAGTGAAAAATAGCAATATAAAGAATCTTGGAAATCAACCTACAATAACTGAATTAATTGAAAATATAGTCTCACATAATTCAATGTTTTCCTAGAAAACTGGCAAAAACAAAAATTTGAAACTTTTTGCATGCGAGGAAAAAGGTTAAAGGCTCATTTTTCCAAAATTTTTCAGATTTAGAGTGATTTTGAGGGATTTTCGGTTGGTTTCGGGTAATTTCGAAAGATTTCGGGTGATTTCGAAAGATTTTGGTGAATTTCAGGTGATTTCGCAAATATTTCAATTTAATTTCAAACTGTTACTCATCTTATAAGTATATTCAAAAGTGTATCAGTATAAACTGAAAAACGGTGGCGTTGGCCGATTTATGAATTTTGAGCCAATTGCGAGGGATTTTTGGGTTTACGGAAAGATTTCTGAAAGATTCCGAAGGGATTTCGGAGTGATTTCGTGGATTTCGGACGAACTTGTGACACGATTTCGGGGAGTGATTAACCTCTCGAAGATTTCATCAAAGTTCTTTGGAATTCCATTAAAATTTTAAGTTATTCTATAGGAATTCCGCGAAAATTTCAAGTAATTTCATAGAAATAAATACCTTAACATTTCATTAAAAGAATTTTATGGAATTCTTGGACAATTTTTTTTCGGAATCACAGTATAGGATTTTATGAAATTCCTCGGAATTCCACTAAGATTTCAATTTCAAAATTCCATATTTTTTTTTTTCAACTTTCCTGAAATTCCTCAAAATTTTACCACTGAAATATCCTGGAATTCCACAAAATTTTTAAAAAATTCTACGGAATTTTATTGACATTTCATGTAATTTCTTAAAAATTCCTCGGAATTCACTAAAATTTTATGAGAATATCTACATTCATAGCCGAAAATTTCTCGAAAGTCCAATGAAACTTCAAGGAATTTTTCAGAATATCACCGAAATTCCATGTTTTTAGCTGGAAATTCCTCGGCATTACTAAAATTCAGTAAAAACTGAAATTTCATGTTGGGAATTTCGGTGTAATTTCATGTAATTGTTTAAAATTCCTCCATGTAATTCATTTAGGATTTCGTGTTATTCGATCGGACTTTCACTGAAATTTCAAGTAATTCGGGAGAAATTAAAATTTAATGTGAATTCTATGAAACTCCACAAAAATTCCTTTTTCAGAATAACATAATTATTTTACCGAAATTCCACTAAATTATGGAATTCTGAGACTTTGACAAATTTTTGGGGATTCCAAAGGATATTTGGGAATTTTAAAGGAAATATTTTTCAGAAAGTCAATGATTGGGTTTAAAATAACTTATAAATCGAGATTTGATAAAAACATATGGCAACGCTGCTCATGATACAACAAACGTCAAAAAATTGAAATATCAAAGTAGGCCTTGGTTTTTTTGACAGTCGATATAAAATGGCGTCTTTTTGTTTCAAAGATTACGATCCGAAGGGCCGAAGTATTAAAATCAGTTGACAATGAACGGGTTCGTATAACTCCGGCCCTTCGGGCTCGTATAACCTCGGACCTTTGGGCCAATGATTAAAATAACTCCAGCCCTTCGGGCTCGCGTATAACTCCGGCCCTTCGGGATCGCGTATAACTCCGGCCCTTTGGGCTCGCGTATAACTCCGGCCCTTCGGGCTCGCATATAACTCTAGCCCTTCGGGCTAGCGTATTACTCCGGCCCATCGGGCCGGTATTTCTGAGTATCCCAGATTCACAGATTTTTGTCGTGGAGGTGCGAGATTGATTGAAATAATGTTGTCAGATTTTTCTACATTACATTGAAATATCGAAAATTGGAATTCTGTTATGTAATTTGTGAATTATTATTTCAATTAGAAATTAGGCATAAAAAATTGCGATTGAATTTTCAATTTTTTGGAGGAGGTTTAGCCTCCCCTGCCTCCTCTGACGAGCCGCCACTGCTCCTGTGATTGCAATAAGTTTGTGCAGATCGAAAGAATAGCTTTATATGTATATAACAGAAAATATTTAAGATCACTTACCAGCGCCTTCTTCAGGTACCTCAGTTTTTCCTTCTCCCTGCAGCTGGGCTTCGAGCTCTCTTATCCGCTCTTCAGCCTCATTTACCCTGTTTTGTAACTGCCTATAGGTCTCTAAACCTGCTATAGTCGCTAGCCTATCTCGGATATACCTAGGTACATAATAGATTGAGGAAATCAAATCCATAGGAGCATGTGCATGCTCTGTGAAATAAATGAGCTAGTGTGTTTGATCAATACAGAATGTTTTGTTTGTATAAATCCAAAATGAAGGATACTTACTCTAATGCATCGTCGGGCTTGTCAACTTCTTCATGGAGGTTGACCAGGGTCTTGGTCAATGCATCCATTACTCCAGTTTTTTCCAAATACTTGCGAAACTCTTCGCGTTTGCCTTCGGACGGCTGAAAAATAATGACACATAGAGGGAAATTGGGAAAATCTTGAGAAACTTTTTACCTTGAAAGACGGATTTGTGGAAGTCATATCTCTAAACTCAAAGCAGCAAACGAATCAAAAAAGTTTAAACCGCGTTGACAATGACAAACTGGAATGAACACTTGTCGACAACCTACCTAAAACATTTATCAATCAAATACCTAAATGATTTTTTGCTATGGAAACTAAAAAATTGGAAAAAATGCAAATTAGTGAAAATCTCGAATATCTGCGAGTTTTTGCAAGGGCAAGCAAAATGTAAACATTAGTCTGTTTCAACGCGTCAAAAACCGCCCCATGATCAGTTTCAAAGCCACTCCGTCTACCAATTTTAGGTTTTGCGCACAATCGTGACGGTTTCCAGTGTGGCGTGAACAGAGTTGTCAACTGTCAGGCAAATGCTCGGTGGAAAATCAAATGTGACATTTGACATTTGAGCGGCGTTCTCATCACAATTTCCGGAGGTATTCGTTCGGAGCCGTCCGGAGTAACTTCCAACAAAAAACGCTTTTCTATAGCCTAGTACTCATAACTGCGAAATTCGCACTTTTTTGACATTGCTTTGACAATTTGACGTTTAATGCGTGTATAAAACGTCTAATGGCCGTTTGCACCAACGATTTCAAGGGAGGTTTAACGATAATCAACGTTTAAAATGACATTTTTACATGTAAAAGTGTCACTTTAAACTTTGATTATCGTTAAACCTCGCTTAACATGGTCGGTGCAAACGGCCATAATTGTCGAAGCAAAGTCAAAAAAATGCGAATTTCGCAGTTATGAGTAGACACTTTAAGTTAGACAAAATTGGACAAAATACGTTAACGCTAACGTAAGATTTGACAGCTGCGCATGCGCAGTTTCTTTTCACCAAAAATAGCGTGTTACGTGTCACGTTATTTAGCGGGTCTTTACGTGTACCTTATCCGTAAACGTTCGTTAAACCGAGTGGTCCCGAAAGCCAGATTACCGGTGTCGACCTTTGCCGAATGTATTTTCACCTTAAAAAAAAGTTGTCACATAATTCAAAATAATCAAAATACAAAAAATTATTTCTAATTTGTCCTTTTCACAACAAAATTTAAAGGTTAGGTTATATGATTGTGAGATATAGCGTTAACGTTTAAGGTAGGATTTTTAACTATCCGGCATTGCGATATACGGCAGCGGTGTGCGGTACTGCGATGTTGTGGATATCGCAACCCGCATGCTGTTGGCGGCAAATTTGTTTTTTAACTGTCAGGCAAATATTTTTGAAGTCGCGATCAAAACATCGAATCAGCTACTCGTCATACTATTGCTGCAATTCTCTTGCTCGAAGAAGATGAAGAAGAGGAAGCCTTATTTCACTGTTGTGAAAATCGCAGTGAAATGTCAAACATTCAATTTTAATTGATTAAAAATTAATATTTTTACTTTTATGCACTGCCCTGTTCCTAAAAATTGGAGCAGCTCCTTTTCATTTTTGACTACCAGAATTCGTGCACAAGAAAGAGTGTATAACATTTTCATTGAACGTCACTTGAATGCAATTGCTGCAAGAACAAAACTCAAAACTGTAGTATTTTGCCAGGTCGTGGCCCGTGGGGCGTCGCACACTACTGCGGTGTCGCCGAAAAACATTTTGGAATTTTTCAGCGGCACGCCGCAGAGACAGCTTGCGACGCCGCAGTGCCGTTGACGCATACCGCATGGTAACCAAACAGTTCAATCCCACAACATGGTAGACAACTCACCGGCACGTCGCAAAATCGCACACCGCTACCGCACGCCGCAATGACGGATAGTTAAAAATCCTACCTTTACGTGAAAATTTAACTTAAACTGGTTTGTGAGCACCGACGGTCACTCAACGCTATAGTAAAAAATAGGGTTTACGTTTAAAGATTACGTTAACGTGTTTGGTCCAACTTAAAGTGTCTAGTACTAGGCTTATTTCGTCAAAAGAAAAAATACATTAGAGGCGTTTTCTCGCGTCTCACATGTTTCAAAACATTTTTTTAAAACTGGTTTAAGTAATGTCACCTTAACGTCATAGTTTCTCGACGCGAGAAAATGGTTTGAAAACGTGGATTGGATTGTATTTCGAAACGGTTTGAACCAATTTTGTCGTGACGTCATGGGCTTATCGCGAGAACGTACTGTTTCAAAACAGTTTTGAACCAGTTTCAAAAAAGTGGACGCTAGAAAACGCCTTTGGTGTATTCTTTTGTTCTGAACAAACTGATTGCTTTCGCTTTCACTTTATCTGATTGCGTTCACTTGTCGGCTTCTTCTTTCGTCTCCGGTCAGTTCCCCCACTCTACCTACTAAATTGAATAAAAAGTTCTGGTGCCTCAGACGCTACGCTAATACGGTACCGCTAAGAATACTGTATTTTAAATGGTATTTCATAGTTCTCGGACACAAAGACACAAAAATCCTCTAATCCCTTATTCTGTTTACATTTTGACAGCTGAATTGAGTGATCTAACCTAACTTTTTTTTGCTTGTTTACCAACTTTTATTTATCCTGAAGATTCCTGAGTTCCATTAATTTTCCTTTGGTGTTTTTTATGGAGGAATTATTGGAAGTTGCTGTTTTTTTAAACGTAAATGAAGCGTAAACAAATTTTGACATAGCATAGCGTTACGGTAAGGCATCCGTTAAGTCCTAAGGTTAAGGGCGGGTATTATAAAACTACTTTGAGAGTTAACTTAAAGTTAACTTCTGAAATTACATGTAATTCAAAAAGTTAACTTCAAGTTAACTGTCAAAGCAGTTTTATAATACCCGCCCTAAGTCCCATTAGGTAGCGGGCTCCGCTAACGCTAATAGAGAGTTCTCGTGCTGTCCAAATTTCAAATACCGTTACGTTATTTGACAAGTATGACAGTTCTTACCGTATTAGCGTTAGCGGAGCCCGCTAAGTAACGGGACTTAGCGGATGCCTTACCGTAACGCTATGCTATGTCAAAATTAGTTTACGTTGCATTTTTTCCATTTACGTCTGCAAAAACAGCAACGTCTAATAATTCCTCCATAAAAAAACACTAATTAATGAAATTCAGGAATCATTGGATAAATAAAAGTTAGAAAACAAGCAAAAAAAAAGTTGGGTTAGCTGTCAAAATGTAAACAGAATAAGGGATTAGAGGATTTATGTGTCTTCGTGTCCGAGAACTATAAAATACCATGTAAAATACCCTATTGTTAGCGGTACCGTATTAGCGTAGCGTCTAAGGCACAAGAACTTTCTATTACCATAAGAACTGTCATACTTGTCAAATAACGTTACGGTATTTCAAATTTGGACAGCACGAGAACTCTAAAAAAGCTGCTTACGGAAACACTGCTCTAGGATCAGTTCTGCCCGTATTACATCTGTGTATTTCTCCGTGTATTTATTCATGTAGTTCAGGGTGACAACCGAAAAACTTCGAATGCAACAAAAGTCAGCATTATGAAAAACAAAATAATGTTGGCACCCTGAACTACATAAATAAATACACGGAAAAATACACAGATGTAATACGAGCATAAGATTAGTAAACTATCTGTATCTAGGTGGAGCTAGTTTAGTTTCCGAACTAATCCGAACGGATGGATCCGCAGATGAATCTTGTCAAATGACACTCCCCAACAATACATTATTTTGATTTATGGATTTTCCTGTTTTAATTATTATAATCTGAAGTTCTCAAATACCATTTTTTTTTTTTTGGTTTCTTGCTGTTGAAGATATCTGCCACATTTATTTTAAAGGCAAAAAAATCAACAAACAACTTAAAAGTTGGTTGGGCGGGTATTATAAAACTACTTTGAGAGTTAACTTAAAGTTAACTTCTACACCATTTCAACCTCAATTTCGGAAAAAGTAACTTTTATTTAGGAAAATGTCAAGTAATTTCCGAAAAACTCAAATCAATTTCAGAAAAGTAATTTCGGAAAAAGTAAAGTTAATTTCGGAAAAAGGAACTTCAAATTTCAAATTCGGAAAATGTAAATTCATTCATAGCTTACTTTTGCCGAATTTGAATTTACTTTTTCCGAATTTGAATTTACTTTTTCCGAAATTGATGTTGACATGGTGTAGAATTACATGTAATTCAAAAAGTTAACTTCAAGTTAACTGTCAAAGCAGTTTTTTAATACCCACCCTAAGAAAAACAACTGACGGCTGCCAATCCTATTAACCCCGCATTTTATCGGTTCGGTGAGATCCAAACAATATGATACTGAACGGTACTGAACCGAACATCCCGATCACTTTCCGTACACGAGTGAACTGAACGTCAAGATTGTTGATCCTTCGATCGGGTTAGCCCGATCATAGTTTCCGTAAACAGCTAAAGTAAACGGATGTTTGCTGTCCCCTTACCCCTCAAGTACAACCTTGGAAGGCCGATCACTTTGTTCATCTACAAACAATGTATACAAACGTCTTCTTTTGTAACAACTGACAAAACTAATGTGAAGCTGAAGTGATTGCTTTGTTCAGTTCAGATTCATTTAATTCAGTTTCACTTGTTCATTTCGTTCAGATCGAAAAAATATTACTATTTATAAGCTAGGTTCGGCTTGCACACACTGTGCACTCCGAGTGACTCCGTTCGCAAGTCAATTTGACGTCAGACACCAAAAGAGTATGAAAACAACGGTTGACTGCCGCTGACAGTGGTTTGTTGACAAGACTTTTGTAAATGTGGAAACTGGAAACTATTATTGCCTCGGTTTTTTCAAAGTTTTTTAACAATGGTGATTGTGTAGTGTGCCTTTTTGCAAAAATAATTCCTATTTACCGGCGGACGTGTCTCTCCATAAGTTTCCATGAAATCCTACATTTGTCAAATTTTGGATACATAAAATCAGAAAGAATACTCGCAAAAAAAAAAGAAAAATCCACAGCCTATCAAGCTATGTTTGCTTCCAAAATAATCCACCGCTTTCTCCATAGCGAAGTTCTGCAAGTGAAGTAGTGACTTTTCCCACATTTTCTTCCAAAACACCCAATACACACTGGCATTTTGCTGGCATTGCCGCATTGACAAGCAAGCAAAGTTGGCGGGAAAATTATTGTTTTCATACTTTATTGTCCATCTCTTTTAATTGAAAACGTCAAATTGACCTTATCAATTTAAAAGCCTCTCTTTCTGGCGTCAAACTGTCAGACGCCAAAAGAGTATGAAAACAACGGTTGACAGCCGCGCTGACAGTGGTTTGTTGACAAGACTTTTGTACCATCGTCACCAAAAGTAACTGGGACAGCAGCACATTAGCTCTTGTCCTATTATATGAATTTTATTGTCAAATATTTGTCAAACTATAATTTAAATGCATTGAAATGAATGACAGTAGAATTAGTCCAGGAGATTATTATGCATTATTTGTGTCCCAGATACT